TTTCAGGGAGTTTGGGGGGCTGGGAGGATGGGGAGTATGGGACGTGGTTGGGAACAGTAGTTCTGTTAGCAGTATTTTGTTATGATAAACTTTGGATTTAAACTTGGTAAAAACCCATTAGCTGCCAAAAGGGAATAAGGAATAAATTTCCAAAAATGTACAATTTCTGTTAGGTCAGAGAGAGCCCAGGATCAGATACATGCATACATGTGACAAGATAATGTACTCCTCCTGGAATTTCTGACAGATCAGCGTGCCAGACACAGATACCGGCTTCTCCCTGACCACCCCCACACAGATACTGACTCCTTCCTGAATACCCTGCCGACCCCCTGCAGCGGAAACTTCCTCAGCTGAATACCTCAGCTCATGTCCCCGCCCCTCACCCAACCACAGTATAAAAAAAGTGCCCCCCTCCCTGTTGGCGCGGATCCACGTGCCCTGTCTTTGGGGTTCGTGGGTCGCCCGGGGACGCAGAATAAAACCTTTCCTTTCTTCCTTTTCTGATCAACTCTCTTTATTTCCTACGCTTCCTACTGAGCCACCTAATCTAAATTTGGTGCCTTGAAACCCGGGTGGCGCGAGCACCTCATTTGACCATCCCTCCACGGCTCAGGGTGCCCGCCTCTCCCTCCTCGTGGCCCAGGACCCATCACACCTCATTTCTTCATCTCAGCAGCCTTTTCCCAGTTTGGAAGCATCAGTGGTGAGTCCTGTCCTGCCCCCGTGCCGGTGCCACGTGGCCACCCGCCCGCCAGCATCTCTGTCCGTAAAATGTGGCCGCGTCAGAGATTGCCTTTTCGGGACCCTTCCAGGAAGGCTCTTCCGGACCTCGGGAAGTAGTGAAGATGTCCCTACATCCCCCTGTCCCTTAGTCCATCCATAGCTGGGGTCAAATCGCTAGGACGCTGGTCTTTGGCCCCCGCTACTAGGCCACAGGAATCGAGCACGAGGGAATCCAAATTCCTAACCTGATCTGAGCATACCTCTAGGGTGCCTGCTCGCCAATCTGGCTAACCACTATGCCTGCCCGGGACTTTCATCCTAAATGCTTCATTTATTTCTGTAACGCAGCATGGCCTCAGTATGAAAACGGGACCTTGACTTTACCGTCCATACGCCTCTCTCTTTCTCTGGCTCTCCCTCTCTCTGTGTCCCCGTCCCTTCCCCCCACAGTTCCTTCCACCTCCTCTCCTCGCCCCATCCTTCCTCTTCCCTCCGGGCTGTCGCCCTGCCGCCGCACCGCATTGGGCGCTGCTGAGCCCACAGTGTGTGCGGTGCATGTGGGGGTGGGTTCATGTGCTATGTGTGGGGGGCAGCGACGGGACCGCCATCGTCCCCGCGTCCTCCCACCCCTCCCCCCCACCGGA